TGTACTGTCCATTTAATACAATTTTCCTTATCCTACTCTGTGTAGGTTAAAATTTTCCCTCTGGTGAGTATTATGATTAAAATTTAAACCACAAGCTTGTGAAATGCAAGTCAAAGAAGTGCTTAAGTGATATTTCGTGTTTTTATTTGCAGATCAAAGCTTTGACGGAAAGCCAACGAGAATTTGTGAGAAATTTTGGAGTCTTCAAAGTTTTGAGCAGCCAGAAAAGACTAAATATTAAATTCCAACAAGGAAGAATTTGCATATTCCACTAATGGTGTGACGTTGTGAATTTTCATTTTGCTCTCGCCGCAAGGAAATATTGCAGGAGTTCAACCAATATGTTATAATCTTTGTTTGTCTTTTTCCTTCTCGCTTTCCTGAGATATTTTCTGCGCATAAGAAACTGATCTCCTCTTTTGTTACATGTTGTACGGATATTTTTGCCATCGAACGGCAAGGCTAGCACTCTCTTTGGCAGAATGACGATAACAGAAAGCTTCGCCATGCCACCCAGCGAATGCTTATTCACCGAATCTTGGTGCCAACACACAAATTTAAATTCGAATCTGGCGAAATTGGAATTTCCGCCTCACACCATCGCCGCTAGAAGGAGTTAAAATTGGTGTGCAATGGAAAGAAGAATGGGGATTTTACATATCATACATGGAAACACTCCAACTCTTAGAACGTCCTGTGACGCAATTGAAACAAACCCATAATCGAATTGCATATAAGCAAGACACTGAACTGAAATTACGCGCTGGTACAATCCATTCCCCTCTATACTTGGGATGTGCCAAGAAAATTCAGAATTCGCCAGTTGGGGAGGAAAAAGGTGTGGAGAGATTTCCATTTTTTAATCATAATAATTCCTAAAGTGGTTAACAATTTGCAGAAAATTACACAATTTGCCAACCGAGCGACGTCACCCCCAGTGTTCTCGAAAAAGATGCCAAACCATACCGTTGAGGATCATCCGTAGAGTGTAAATGAACACTGGCGCGAAGGAATGGGTCTTGATGAGGAAATTCATCCCTTAAACACCCAAATGAAAACCACTTTTGAGTGTCTTCTCTCCCGTGTGCGGATTGTAATTATGCGAATTTCGCATTTCTCCACTTCAACGAAAGGCGCACCGCCTTTTATACACTTGACTGAAATTGTGAGATAAATATGAGGAAAAACCCCTCGAGAGTGAGACGGAGAGTGTGAGTTTTTGTGTATATTTCCGCTCAGCGACAGAATAGCTGAACTGACGACAGAAAATTGCTCTTTAAGAGTGCGAGGAAAAGTGAAAGACAAGGTGGTCTCATAAATAATTCATATGCACCCATAGATTCTTCTGATACTTTCCTCCTCTCTGCGTCTCGTCCCAATGGGCAGAGAGTGTCTAGAAATAATAAGGGTGAAATATGCTAATTCCACCTGGCCTAAACGTCCACACGAGGAAATCTAACCCACTTCTTTGCTATGCTTGGCTTCAGCCTCTTTTTCTCGCCTCGCCAAATCAGGGTGAATGGTCATGTGACACAAATGCGAGACATAAGAAGATTGACGCGGGATTTAAATTGAGGACCTGTAATTTTTTCTTAGTCAATAAAATTATCTTTGCGAAAGACGTTCATCGAGAGTGTTAGTGTCGGAGGAAGATTAAAGTTTTAATTCAATTCACTGCTGTGCAAGGAGCTCTCCATGTTTAGAAAAGTCTTTATAATGTATTTTTAAGCACTGGCTTAAAGTTAACATATTTTGCACAGTGTCGACTGCGTCAGTTTATTACTAACTCGTTCAAGTCCATAAATTAATACACAACATCCTAGGGGAAAGTTAATCTCTCAAAACACTCATGCAAGAATATACTTGAGGCAAATCTCACGGGAAAATTGCTGTTTATAGTTTCATTGTGCGAATTTTTCTCGCATTAGCAGCAATTCCGCGAGTAAAGTCTTATTAATCCTCCCAGCGACAACTCTCGAGTGTCTTTAGTGCAACTTTCACCTCTTCATCAACCAGATGAGAACTTGAAGTGGAAAGTGCACACACACGACGCAGCGTTGCCTAATTAATTCTTGTGAGCCTCGGTTATGCATAACAAGAGGATTAAATGAGAGTAAATAAATGGTGCAAGTATATCATGATGTCTACTAATTGTTCATACGTGACTGGATTTTTTCCCGCTCCTCCTTAAATATACTTTAAGTGGTGTGCTTTTGCCATGCCACATTCATCTGAATGTGTCAAGAGCTCTTTGGCTGTTTTTATTTCTTTTAAAACAATACCAATGTCACTCACAAAAGAGCGCTTCATACACAATGAAGCAGTGCAGAAAGTTTTTAAACATGATTTTTAATTAATTCATGACAAAAACAATTTTATTGAAAACTGGATTACTCAGCGTCGAATGGATTACCGGAGAACTTTCAAATAAATTGGAGAAATAATTTATCAAAAAGCTTTATTCGATATTTTGAATTTATATTTTATTTAATACAGCTCAATGCACATAAAAAACCTTTTGTCGTAATACTGCTGAACTCATTAGGGACTTGCCAATAAAATACATACACAAGTGCATTTGTTTCCCCCTTTGTAGATACTTTTAAAAATTACACACTCTCGATGAGCTTTTCTATGCATATTCCAATGATTTTCCTCCATTCAATTTCTTTTCATTTGACGAGGGAGCTGAAAAAACGTAATAGAACACATGTAATTCTGTGCTGTAGTCTAGAATGTTTTACTATTACCGTCACCATCAAAACGTGGGCACAAAATGCCAGATTCATGTACACAAAATGTTGATATTTGACGGATGTTTGCAACAATTTGTCAGCAATGGAAACATATTTCGTTAGTACATATTGAACCGTCAGAGAAGTTTCCCTCGCGAGTTTTTGCCAACATCGAAACTGCAAAATTATCCCAGCGAAAAAGTGATATTTGTTGATTTGAAAATTTGTGAATGTATGCAAAATACTCGTATGTGAAATTGTCAAAGCGAGAAAATTCATGCTCAAAATATCACTGATGTTGTTTTTTATGAGCTTCCATGCAGAAGTTCCTTGAAAACTTCCTCGAGCTTTTTCTCTCTCCTTCGCGTGGGGTGAATTTAAATTTCAATACTCACGATGATTGACACATTTATGCAAAATGTTATGAGAAAATTTTACAATTTTTCATACGCCGCATTTTTTCATCGACAGTGCGCTCGGTTGAAGCTGGGTGGAAAGTCAAAGCTGGGAGAGAATATTTAGAGCGATTACATAAAATGTTGAAGTTAATTTATTGCATATAGTTTGCGACTACCAACATGAATTAATGGCTGAGGGAATCCAGAAGAGGGCCGAGCTTTTAATTCACTAAGACCCACTTTAATGTACTTTTAATTGCTTTAGTTTTGGCAGTCGACTTGCGTTGTGTGTATTCACCATGCACCCCAAAAAATTCAATGACTTCTCTCTCAGTCGCGCAGTTTCTGAGGCTCACAGGAAGAGTTAAAAATATACATCTCCAAGTCTTTGAAATGGGTTGCAGAACATGCAGTTGAATTTCCCATTCTTAGAGGATTAAATGAAGATGCTCAGAGAGGGAAAAGCAGACAAATTGAGAGAATGTGGGCTTCCCGCAGGAAACTCATAGTGACAATTTATCCCAGAGAATGAATCCCATTTCAATTTATTGCATTAGCTTTAGCCTACATTGATACGTTCCCTAGCAACAGTGCCCTCTTGAAATATTATACTCTCTTTTCCTCACGGTGAAAAAGAACAATTCTGACTATCACCAATTAATCCTTTCGTGCCACTTTTAATTTGACGCCCACGTTTCAGTAATAGAAAGAAATGGTTTTGCGTGAATTTCTCTACGATTCTCTAACGCCACCCACACAGCAATTTAGAGTACACACCCACTGGACGTAATTAGCAAAATAAATTTCCATCAGGGGTAATTTTTAAATATTTCTGCGTACTTAACCTAAGTAGAATTTAAATCAAGTGGGTCGTATAGTCACAAGCTTCGTGCTACGTCGCAAAGGTGTGAAAAAAAGTGTGCAGCGAAAGTGGTGGAAATATTCCCACCAATATCTGTCCCATGGCACTCATTTACTTTTCTTTGCATAAACTTTAATTAAACACCATGCTTGTTCTTCATTTTGTTGCCCCTCCACAAACACCCTGAGATTGTTAACGCAAGAGCGATTCTACGGTATTGCTATCCTTTGTGGATGAAAATTTGCTTGAGACGAGTGTCTGAATATCACTTTAGAGAGTGGTTTGTAGTTAATTTTCTGGACACTTCCAGTGGTGGATTGTGTTGCACTTGCGGTTGGTTTCCAATGAAGATGCGTCTCTAATGAAGAGTGTCTGTGAGTTGTCTTAGGTATCAGAATTGCATCATCTCAACCTAATTTATCATTCATCTCAGCGAAATGTCTGGCCTCAGACTGAAATCCATTTTGAGTGTGAATTTGTAAGAAAGTGAATAAAATTTCCCATTCATAGCCGCGTGTGAGAAAATGGGCAAAATTCCTTGTTCTCAAGAGTAATTTAAGCCGAGATTTTACAACTGTACTAAAATATTTGACACATAAAATGTGCCCCAGCGTGAATGCGTGGGCGAGGAAGAGGTCTTTTGGCGCAAGTTTGACGACCTAGGGTGGATTTTCCACGTGTATCTAATACAACATACACACTGACATATGACCGGACATTAGGCGACTAATTCTATCTCGGGGAAATAAATTAATTTTACACAAGATAAGGGGATCCACCAGAGACCCAGATATTCTTATAAGTACAGCGACTGGGATGTTATTCCTCCCATAATCAAGCCCATTGAGGTGCTTTTCAACCCTCTCACACTCCAGATCCTACATGTTTAATGATAACAAACACCACCTCATTGCACGGCACAATATAGCAGCCAAAATGAACTCAAATCTCTCCCATAGTCCCAAAAATTTCCCACCCGTGAATGAAATCATTTATCATCTGCTGAAATATTTTATGTCATGCGCCTAGTACATACAGAGTGATCTTGAGGGAAATTACTAATTCACACGGAGCGTCTTCGTGTATGTGTGGATAAAATCTTTGGGTGTCTCTGACCCGAGACTTAATCTTGTGGTCCTTATCGTGGAAAGATAATTTGCTCCTGACCCACTGACATCCAGTGGGGCCAATTTTGAATTTCCTCATTCAATTTCATGCCCGGACTCTCGGTTTTTGTCACTTCTCGAGCGCCAAAGAGACTGTAGTTATCGTCCAAGAATCCCTTATCTCGGCCACAGGCTAAGAGATTTTTTCCTGACTCCAAGGCAGCGCCAGAGGGGAGTTTTTCTGCTGGTATGAAGAATGTTGAGAGTCTGCTGTGTGAACTTGATAGTCATTTGATTACCTGTAAAGTCGCCAATGAAGGCTATGCCAATGGATATGTCGTTAAAGTTTTTAGTATGACGCCCCACGTAATCCCATCCGATGCCCTCATACACGCGTCCGTCATTCCCAATAAGGAAGCTATGGGAAAGATGCAATGAGACATGAACAATGCTTGTGTTATGCTTGGTCTCTACTTGTAGGCAATGTCTCCCCAGTGCTTCTCTCGCTGATGATAACGCTGAATGCTCTTGACGCGACGCTTGCATGCATCCAAAGAGGTACACGCAGGTGTGACCGTGTGACATATGATGGCAACTTTCACGGGATGCTGGAGGAAAGTGACCTCTGTTGCCTCACTGGCATTCCACTCACTCCGTTCAACGACACTAGGACAAACAACATATATGGGATTTCCACTCACAGCACAGAAAATTGAACTGATCACGATACAACAGCTCAACAGCTTCATGTCTGTCAACTCGAGAACACTCAAGATTGTATAAATGCGCCACAGAGAAAGTGGGAGGATGAATGGCAATATTCACACTTGGTGGCCTGGATTTTATATGTAAGCCTGTGTGTCACATATACTGTAAAACTTTTCCACTAATCATAAGGTTAGGAAGGTCGACTCGACTCCGGCAAGTAGTAGTGAGAAGCTTGAGATAATGGCCATGATCAATTACACATTGTTCGTGGGGAATTCCCGCTGAGCATAGCTATGTTAGGAAAATCCCCTGGAACACACAATTTCATGCTCCGCCGTTCCCCGCACGCTGCACCCCGCCCACACATGACTTCGCACCCAAACCACCCTTGCACCGCAATGTGAAAGATTGTGAAAGTCGAAGGCGAGAGTGAACAAATCTCCCAGTCTCTATGAACCACCGGCTTCACAGCCCACCACCTCTCCCCTCTTGGTAAACTTTCACGTTTCACCTCAGCACATTTCCTCATTTAGCAGTGCGCGTCACAAGAGAGAGTCTAATCTTGAGAAATTTGCTTCATATCCGACGTGGATGACTCTCCCTACAGATATCCACTCTTAGTAGATTACCCTGAAATACTTATACACTCACTGAGATTGTCATAAATATTTCTATCGCAGTGCAGTGTGCGTGTGGATGCATTTTGCGATAAATTGTTATCATGCGCTTAAAGGGAAATCCCAGACTGGAGTTGTAATCTACCATTCTGGGGGCAGATATTATTACAAGCCCAAACCAGATGTGGAACTTCCATCAGACACAACTCATTTTTAGCTCTCAGTTGTAGAGATGAAATTAATATAGTTCTGTAGTTTATTTTTCAAGTGTTAACGATAATAAATTATCTATGGACGAAAACTTTACAATCATCAATCTTACAATGTAGAAAATAATATCATATTATAAAAGTTGTAAATATTATGTAATCATTTAAAATAGAGCTAGAATTCAAGCTACAAGTTTGCAGCTGAGAAAGCTTCTTTCATTCGAGTCACATAAAAAAGCAAAAGAACCCTTCAAGATTTTTATTGCTCACGTTTCTATACACGCGTTCGTGAATTTATCATTTTCACAGACAACGTGCAAATGTGGTTTTTGGGATAATTTTAAGATATTGAATATGTTCATATGTGAACTCTTCTCACATCTAAAAGCTCATGTGTTTTAATTATGCATGAACATTGCACGCATCGAGTGAGGGAAGATATTTAATAGCAGAGAATATATTCTATGTCAATTTTGGCTCCAATTTCATTTAAGTAGTCGTGACATAATGTAATCAGAGTGTGATTGCGTAATGTTACCACCATCCTTGGTTCACTACTTTTACTGTTGTCGCTGAGGATTTTCACAGCAGAATTCTTGATAAAGAATGTAAAAGGGCGAAAGTTTTGCATGTACGAGGGATGAAAACTATTTGAGAGTGTCATAAAGGTAAATATTGCCATATTAACTCTGAGATTTCAGCAGTCATGGTGAACTTTCTCCAGTTAATGTGTGTTCTTTTCTCGAAAACTTTTCACCGCACAATTCCATACCACGGAGAATTTCAACTCGATAAATATTTCATTTCACGTTCCCACGTAACGGAATATTCTATAATTAATTTCTCATCTCGAAATCTCTTCTGAATATGGTCGTTTTTGTGGTGTATTTTCGTGATTGTTTCTTCAAGTACACTGTATCAAGTGAAGCCTAAGATACACACTCGAGTACATTTTCATTATATTTACATTCTCATATTCAATTCTTTAGGAGGAAAATCGTTGCAGGGAATGGGGAAAAATTTCGCGAGAGTTTTCCGGTGGTGGCAAAATAACCGAAAAACAAGAATAATGCTAAGCTTCTTAAAAGTTTCAATCACACTCACTTTGTTTTGTACCGCTTTGCGAAGCCGCGGCGACACACAAACATTGTATATCCAGCATATAAAATTCATCATTGTCCCAATTGTTGTGATGGAGGCAAAAAGAGCATCCATCGATGGGTGACAGAGGTATAGAATTTCCTCATTTCACTAAATCCGATTATGTTGGCTGAATTATTTCATTAAAGAGAGAAGAAGCGGAAAGCCTCGTTAAATAACCGAGGTTTCATGTTTTATAAACTCCATTCAGTGGTGTGAGATCTTCTTTCTCATAATTTGTTTATATTGCCGGAATGACGAACACCGCCAGAAGCTTAAGGGTATTGATAGTGGATTTCGCTCATCAATTTTCCGTTCGTTTGTGGGAATGGCATAAAACTTTCTGGCCACTTTTGCCATATCACACACTTTTATTGGCATAGAAAGTTCGTTTTTAATATTTAACTCTATTAATTATATGGCACAACTTTTTGATTTTTTCCCTCCAACTTTTTAATTACACTTTCTTTTTTTTTTAGTAGTTTTCTAAATGACTTTTCTTCTCGATGACTATGCTATGTACCTAACTTTAATGCATAATAATTTAAATGAATACATAATAATTTTATGAAGTTAATACATACTTATGGAAATATGTAAATAAACTATGCACGGAGCAGGATTGAAGCTAATATTTCGTTTAAAATATTGTCTGAAAAGATCAGAATTTAATTTCTTTTCAATTTCTTTATGCATAAATGCTTTAGAAATAAGGAAGAAATTATGAAGTCCCCTCATTCTAGGAAATGTTTTGAATTTCTCTATGAAATTGTACACCATTGAATTTGTGATTGATTTTCCAATCGTCTCAAATTCAGTGACCAAATTAATTTTTTTAATTTTTAGGACAACTGTAAAGCATAAAGTAAATTCTAAAACAAAGACTATAAAAAACCGTATTTGACAATAAACAAAATTAACTCTATAGGCTTCTTTCAGTGTTAATTTTTCCGGTGGAGTGGAGAAAACAGAGTATATCGATTGAAATCTTCGCCTCATATTCTTGTTGTTGACAAAAACATTCTCAAAATATGGTGGTGTACATGTAGAGTTTCAGTGGAGGTCAAAGACGACAAGAACAATTTGCCCTACAGAGAAATATCGTCTCTCATGGGATGCCAAAGATAAAGTGGATGGACTGTTTGCTAAAGTGGAGGAAAATCATTGGTACTGGGAAAATAACTTATCAAGATTGAAGGAAAATATAATGTGCGGCTTCCCACAAATGAGGCAAGTGTTGTTCAAACTGAACCAGAGCCAGTTTTCCCTGAAAATCGAAAATTGTCCAGTAAATTGTTGTAACTTTCATGTTGGTAAGAGCATAGAAACCCTATCCAATATCAAAGGCGCTTTGTAGATGGAGACGCCGGGTGAAGCTCAGGTATTGAGATCAAGGTGAATTTAGCGCAAAGTCGAAGAATGAAGGAAGTTGCTCGATTGACCCTTGAGATTTTGCGGCCTTTGTCATCAATGTGGGTCAGAATCGTTGGAGTGTTTATTGAAATTGAGCCCTTCAAAGTGATAAAGTTCGCCATAAAGAGCCTTTCATCGTGATCAAAAGTTTTCGTCTGATAATCACGCCTTGATACAATCTCATGGTAAATAGACCGTTTGAATTATCCCTCAGTACAATTAGTTGGAGCTCCCCAATCCTTTGCTATGTATTAAATGGGCGGGAATAACACTTTCTTTTCACTTTCAAATTGTGACGTCAGTTTCGGGGGTGAAAATAGTCAAAATTCCATGGTGCACAAATAGAGCAATTCATTTTAAAGTTGATTGCGAAAGTTCTCCATTGTTTTCCGTGCGCCTGTATGTGTGTTAAATTCACAACTTTAGCAAATGCATAGTGGTTGCTTCACATGTGTACGGTTGAAAAGCCTGCGAATTGTGGGTAGAAGACCGTTTCATTGTTGGGTAATGATATTCATAATGTCCTTTGCATTTCTAACACATTGTAGCGCAGGAGGTTGAATGGTTTAGAAGAAGGTTGAGATGGTTTGTGGGGGACAAAGTGACTGGATACCCTGGTCGAAGGGTTTGGGACGATGCGAAGAGAATGAGGGTATTTGTATAATGTTTCTCGACTTCACCAGTTATGTGGTCATGCACAAAGTGGTGATGAAATTGCATTGTCTCCAGTTCCACACTGAAGATTTTCTCTCAAATGGTATTAAATAAGGCGTACAGAGATATTTTCACCCACCTTCAATGACCCACTTTTCCGGACTTACACAAAATGTCCTGTTCTAAATGTCAAAAAGCATATGCTTTTTGCAGAGTGAAAGTCAATGCGTGAATCCAGTGAAATTCATTCCTAAGTGACTCACATTTTTTCCCCAATTTAACAACTAACTTTCTCAAATTATCACTCAGCGTGACTTTACTGAAAGTTCTCCTCTTCACCCAACCAAAGTGGGGTTGTGGAGACTGAGAATACCTCCTGTTGCTCAATAGGAAAGGGTATGAAAATTCCGGTGATGAATATTGCAGAGAATTTCACGCATTTTCGTCAGCTTCCAGAAAATTTTCTCACAAACGCGATTGTTCCGGTGTCGCTGGAATTACGATGAATTAGCCGATTTTTTTTGCTCTGGAAGCAAAATTAGTGTTAAAAACTGAGCGAGAAAAATTCTAATGTATCACGTTTTTAATTAAAAAAAAATTCTTTCCACGGAAAGTGAAATTTCCATTTTATTCTGCGCCATAAAAGACCTTTTCCATCTCATTCTTTTGAGAATTTGCAGCACCCACGTCGCAGTCTGTAAATTGTTTCTTTGAAAGAGAAGTCAGAGAAAGCCAATCAAATTAATCACTCAACACAGAAAAGCTCATATGAACATCGCGTGGTTTGTGAAATGTACAAAGAGACGTGAATTAATTCAATTTAATTCAAGTAGGTACTGTATTACAATTTACAATCTGAATATTTATACTGAATAAACGTTTCTTTGAACTTTTAATGGTTTTGATCTTTAGAAATCATTAACTAATAAGAGGGTAGAAAATTTTTTCCTTTAAATAGTAGCCAATCTAAATTTTTCAGCCAATTAGTGTTGAAGTACTTGCTCAAAATAACAATATACATTTAGTGAAACCTTTAATATGCAAATGAATGGCATTAAACTGACACATGATTGAATGCTAGTTTGTTAATTAGGCGGAAATAATTAACCTTGCAATATATATATATATATATATATATATATATATATATATATATATATATATATATATATATATGTAGTGACACAATAAATTTGTGCATGCTAATTTCATTATATCCCAATAAATTAACCAGGGCAGAAACATAGCAAGTGATTCTCTTCACCACAAAAATCTAGATTTTATGTTCAATATTCTATACAGAAAAATATATGCACGAATTACGTTGATGTATGTATTTCTCGCCGAAAATCAATAGTATTAGTGGTAGCAGTTTTCAGAACATATTTGTGCTGTGTTCCGTGGTGAAAAGCTGGGATATGAGATGACAAATCAAATTGTTCAAATTTGCATTGCATGAAAATGTGTCATTTCATCAAGTATCGACTGTGAAAATTCATAATAAATGACCAAGTGGGGAAAATAGAGTGAAATGGAGTCAAAATGTAAAGCGATTAACAATCCTCGAAAAGGGGAAGGCACAAAAGCCCACCTACTGAAAGCACATATGTTTCATCCATTGATAAATTACCCATTTCCGTGACAAGTTTATTCCACCACCTACTGACCATTACATAAATTCATACATGAAATTGTCGCTGTAGGTGGGTATTTATGTGAATACCGAGCGGTCGGGGGGTCACATCTTAGAGCTGCTCTGAAAGCGCCTTCAGTCCCACACTCTGCGAGACTCTCAAGGATCGCCTGTCCAGAACATGCCGACCTGGAGATGATGCGACGCTCCATTAAATGTCTGCAGGGAATCACTCACCCACACACACTCACACAAACACATACTCACTTGCACTGGGAGACATTAGATTACCGGAAATTAATACGATTTCAGATGACATAATGCGACAATGTTCATGTCACACATTCTGCTTATGCCTCTATTTACGCCCAAAGTATAAATATTCCTCCTGACACCTCAAATTATAAATCCCAGGGGTGACGCACCATTCCGGAAAAGTCAACTTCCAATGTATTTCCACGTGCCCCGCATGTCCATGGCCAAAAGTCACCTCTTCTGATTGCTGCGACAGCAATAATTTATAAAATGGAAGAATTTAATAGAGTTGCACTTAATGAAAGACTTACAAAACTATTGCCCACCTGTCAAAAATCTTTAGAATGCGCATAAATTGTGTTTGAGGTTTATGTGATCAAAATGATCTAAACAATCGTCCCAAATTCTTCAGAATATCTTAGAATTTTCAATATGTTTTTCGTTTGGTCCCCGAAAAAAAGGAATCATACCCTTGGGATGAAGGCGAAAAAACCATTGGCAGTTTAAAAAAACGGCCACGTGAGTATAGTAGCGAGGGAATACAGGGAGCAATATGTACTAACGTAGATGACTTTTGCCATATTTCACCTCACCACCTCATGCAAATATTCTATACCTTCTAAATTGGGGCCATTAATATGTGTAGGAGTGTTTAAATTTTATGGCAGTGAAATTAAATCCTCACCCTCCTGAACTGTATCCGCACACACACTTGCGACGTCATGTAACTCACAGCGTAAGTCGATATAATAGGCGTCTTCCGCTCGCTAGAGCCTCGCCTTGGGTGGGTGCAAAGCGTTTCACTTAAATATTGCAAAATATGCGATTCTCAGGAAGAATGTATGTGTATAACTTGAGGAGGTTTCGGGCATTTCTCGCCGCCGGCGACCTCGACGCAATCCTAGGTCTCAGAAGGTAAGACCTTCATATTCTCTTTTGACGAATAATACACTATGAGAGCGAGAGAGGATCCACTGTTTCATGACCTCACTATCAAGGGCACTCGTTATGTGAAAAAAACGTGCAGCTTTCCTCGCCACTTGAGGGTTTTGGGAGGCATTTTTGGCGGCAGAGTGAAGAAATAACTGACGAACCTTTATTTTGACTCACTTTCAGTCCTCTTGGAGCCCATTTTACGCCCATAAATACGCACAACGATGTAAAGCTTATGAAATATTGTGGAAGCGAACTGCGTTCAAGGGTAAAGCCCGAAGTAAAGTATCTATAAATGTACATTTTAGATGGCGGCATATTTTACAGTCGGCGAAAGAAAAGATGAACAGAGCAAGAGAGACATAGAAATGTTGGCGGAAGAATGTGGAACAATAAGTATATGGGCTGAAATGGGCAGTGTTTGCGGGTGGAATCTGGAGGTGGATATAAGAACTCACGGGAGATTGTGTATATAGGAAAATTGCTCACAACTCATCGTAAATTCGCTTTTCTTGTGTAAAATGCATCATAAAGCTGTCAGGATTTGCCTCCACTTCATCTTAAAAATGGTGAGCTTTTATGCGCGATACTGTGAAATTTATACACACACAAATAAACATTAGTAATAATTATAGCAATTTCGGTTGGTAAATCTGCAACATTGGTCCGAATATGGCTGCGGGGCAATTTTACCCGAGAAAAATTATGCCGTGGCCCTGGATATAATCCAACTTACAATATGAATATTTTACACCACAATGGCCAAGGTGAGATGATCGTAAAAATGATAAACAGTCACATCACTGGGGGTGAATTGCGCACCCGGGAATGTTTTGTGGGGGTATGGAAAGAAATTATATTATCATCATTACTTGAACTATAAAGTGATTCTCACACTGCGCTTCTCTGGCTGTGTGCTTTCTTCCTCCAAAAGTTGCTGAAGCTATATATGAAGATAAAATGAAATTGAATTCTCTTTCCCGCACCACATCATCTCGATTATTTTTCCACCTCGATGTGCGCTCCTTCACTTTCGCCCTCTTGGCGCACAGAGAGGGCAATTTTCTCTAATTTTCAACACGGGCGCGTCATGGTTGGAGATCGAAATCGAGAATACATCAAACCACGAGAAAAGGTATTAATTTCCTTTTTCAATTTGTCCCCATGACATTCAACAATTTCACCCACCCGCGCAGACAATCTTCATCTTCACGGCGGGTCGTCGTGCAAAACTTGCCGAAAAGTTGAGGAGGGAAAACTCATCTAGGGATGGTTCGATTTTCGTCTTATCAGATTTTCCGCCTGCAGCACAACCACCGGCGGGCAAAAATCGACAGCCACCCACTATTTTGTCACTGGTGAACTTCCACCCTCGACAGAGGTGTGCGACAAATGCTCCTGGGAAATATTCATAAGGCGATGAACTAATATACGCCCTGCCAAATGGGAATATTAGGACACGGAGAAATTGATAATAATGAGGAATTCATTAGTGCGCCGCTCTCTCTCTCTCCCGACACTCACACAGCTCGAGGGTTTCTCACCCGAAAAATACCTCCAAGTGACTCACTTTCACTACGAATGAGGAAAAGTTTTTGCTGATTTGAGGGTTTAGGCGTCCTTTCTTGAACAAATTCCAATTTTAATTCGTTTGAATATTGCTTATGAATAGGAGAGTGAGAAAAGGATCTGGTCACTAATAAAAATCACTTAAGCCGATGCTAAGAACCTTAACTTCATTTGTCCTTTCTGGAGTGGCAACAGTAAAAAAGCAATTTCTCGTTTTAATAGTGAAACACTCTTATTAGATCGCATTAAAACGGGTCTGTTGATGTTTACTCCTTTTCATGCAGAATGCTTGAATACACTGTGTTTATATACAATTATTTACTATATACTTTTAAAGGTGTTCTGCGAGGAGGTGTTTTCCTTTCACATGCACGTATAGTTATGGAAATAATTCTGATGACAGCTTTAAGAACATTTTAACGCACTTTGTTACGTGTCTGCGATTATTATGAGAAACTACATAACTGAGAAAGAATTCAAGTATATGTAGTAATCTAATTAGATAGTCTGCAGAAAATTAACTAGATATTTATTAATAGCTCCAGTTTGTACAACATATTTGCAGGTCATTTAACACGTTTTGTAAATGTTATATCGTACGGTTTGGCAGTTTTAAGAATTCCTGGACTTAAAGTTTGGTCAGGAACTCTTCCTTTCTTGGCCACAGACAATTTATAATCCCGAACAATGCCCGTGAGAAAGGTGAAGAGGAAGGCTTTAGCTAGCGATATTCCCAAACAGAGTCTTCTACCTTCTCCGAATTGAAGAACTTTTTCGCTGTTGCAAAGTTTTGTACCGGATTCATCAAGAAATCGCGAAGGTCTGAATATTTCTGGATCACCCCAAAGTTCCTTATTCATATGCACTGATTGATTTCCTATGAGAACCGTGGTGTTTTTCGGAATGTTGTAGCCACACAATTCTGTGTCGTCAAGAGTACGCCTGGGACCACTGAGGGGCACAACGTTGTAAAATCTCGCAATCTCCAAGAGATAAGCCTCAGTGTATGGAAAACTTCTGTGCTCAGCGATCTTCATGAAATCTTCTTTCGCACGTTTCACTTCTTCATACACTTGCTCTTGAATGTCCTCGTAGAGAGCCAAAGTCATCAGCGCAAGATCGAGAGTGATACTAGTAGTGTGTGCTCCGCCTAAGAAGAGATCCACCATAATGATCATAAGGTATGCATCTGTGTAATTCGGCCTCCCTTTCTGTATTTCAGAAATGAAGGCGTAAATAAAATCCTCATTAGCTTTGTCTTCACTAAAATTTCTGTGATGATCATCAATGATGTTCTGAAGGAAGGATCGAATTTCCTCATTAAAGCGAAGCATCAAATTGTATCCTGAGAATTCCGGAGCTATGAATCGAAGCCAGGGAACGTCTGACAATATCCCTCCTGAAAAATCAAATGCTTTCATTCGCACATTTAGAAGCTGGAATATGTGTTTTGATTTTTCGTAAGGATATTCACTTCCTGCTGCAAAGGTCCACAGGACATTCATGACAAACAGAGCAAGAAATTCCCCTGGCCACATTGAACCTTCTTCCTTCATCTTTTTGTTTATGAGCTTCTTGCAACTCTGCAACTCCATCTCGATCTTCTGTTGCATGGGACCATCGCCAAATCCAACACTCTTGAGTCGCTTCAATGTGAAAGAACGATGTTCGCGCCAAAGATCACCGTCTGCCATTGTGATTCCTGCATAGGTATTGAACGATCTCAGTGTGACAAAGAAGTTTCTTGGGCGTCCCTCAAACACGCGTCTCGCATACACATCCTTTACTGCCTTTTCCGAGAGTGCAGTAATAAAGTATTTTCCTCCCAAGCGGAAGCCCACAACTTCCGAGTTGTTGTATTCTTCAGACCACTTTTGGTAAACATTATGAGCTCCATTCAGTTTCCGAGCAGCTCTTCTCAACTGGATGCTGTTTCCGAAAATCGGCAGCCACGAAGGACCTTCGGAAAATATTAAATACAGAAAACTTCGGTTTTCAAAACGCACAATTACTTTTACCTGGTGGAAAATTTCGGGGTCGCTTCTGTGCACAGTAATAATAAATTACAAGTAATATAATGAATACACATTGAAAAAAAATCAAACTCATGATAAAATTGCTTCTAAGCCGTCAACACTCAACAGTGCTTCAGTTTCAACTGCCGAATGAAACTGAAATGTGGTTAAATTATACGCCCATTTACATTATTGTTTGTTTGTGCACAAAAATATAGCTTTATGGACACGTGTTTTAAAGACGTGCGTGCCAGTATTTTCCTTATTAGCTCGGCATTTACCACAGATCTGGCTTATGAAGAGAAACAATCTTAAAACCTATTATCTTTATTTCTGAGAGCTTTGTTTTTTATATCACCTCATCTAAGAATTAACATAAAATACGCACAATGAACAACAACAATAGACACCACAAAAAAAAGACTATAAAATTTACTCTATAATTATGACCACATAAATTCTTTAGATGACATTTCCACCACTCTTTTAACATTTCGTGTTATCAGTGATGAATGAAATGGTTTAGAAAAATCAGAAGATATTAATGGGAAACTGGTAGAAAATCAATATCATTTTAGTGCTATACCAAATTTTGGTAATCTCTTTTATGGTTATTCAAGTAATCATTTCTCTCTCTCTCTATATATATATAATATATATAATGAAAGATTTGTTCCGACCCAAAATTAGCTCTAGGAGCTTAGGATCTGCTGGTGGAGGAGGGTAAAAAATAAACATCTCTCTATATTATTTGTACGGCATAATAACAAGTCCCAAAATAGCCAATTCATGTCAATTATGATGTTTCACTATCGGAATTTTCGCGGAAAATATCCCGAAAACCTCTTCTATGATCTACAAAGTGAGAAATTACGTGAGAAGTTTCTGCGGCGGGGGAGGTAAAAATAATTCCACACTTCCACCTCCGCCTACTTATTTTCGAAATTGATATTCGATGAAATGCGCGCGTGTGTGTGAAAATGTGTCTTTCTATTTGTCATGACACACACATTAGAAGGATGAAGAATGTTTCTTGTTGCTCATTTCTGCCGAAATTGTGTGTTTTGCGCGCCAAATGTTCATTAATCACACCCTCAAATCCGGAACCACTTTCACCCTTGTCGCTGTTCCTCAGTTGTGGCGCGGGGATCGTTAGTGCTGGCGGGTTGATTGATAAAGTTGGATGCTTTTGCCACCCTCGAGACTTTTCCCTCTCGCGCACCGCCCGTCTAAAATGATGTACAATCGAAATTCAATTTCAATGTCGACTCGGGAAGTAAATATTTCTTATGTTTTTTCCGCTCTTGTCACCTCTTTGGGCGGAAGATTTAGATGGATGCTGATGGTTGCCGCAGAAGTGTCTCAACATCATTCCTGATGGCAGGGACGTCTCGTTTTGGTGATGTGTTTTTTTTTATGCTCGGGGTGAAAATAGCAACAAGAAGAGGTGAAGAGAAATGGCTTTCTCGGTTGGGGTAGGAAACTTAAATTCTGCTGTCGTCACGTAAGACAAGGACCGTGTCTATCATTAGAGTGACGACAGCATTTTGACGTCATAAACAAAAGTTTACAGCATTTCTCGTAAAATATTTTGACTAATGAAATTATATCTATTTAATTTTCAATTTTAAGTTAAGTAGATTATTTTTTTTGGGGTTCAAATTGTGAATAATGATAAAAATAAAATCATAACACAACAGATAAGAAAAATGGTCTAAAAATTTAAAAATCCACTTATTGAATCCAATTTTTTTTATCAGTTACCCATTAAAGCTTATCAATAAAAATTAGCAATGCCCCTTTTTCATGTGGTCCAAAATTAACTTAGAATACGATGTTTTTTTTCTTTTTGAGGGTCCTCGCGCGGGTTTGCTTGGAAGCTTTCAGAGATTTGTAGGTCACAAAAAGATCCTCTTTCCTCAATCCTGGAAATATGACGTTAAATCTATGGTAAATCAGCTTTACGCTTTCAAAAAGATCCCCAAATGGTGTTTTTCCGACTTTCTCTTCGCATGCCTTCTGCCTGATCTCAAAGCCATTACCGTCCTGCGTGGAATGGGAAAGTAATGTATGTGTATCTATCACACGGGAAAACATCCGTTACTTGTTGATACCTTTTAAAGCTCCAAACCATCAGCTGATTTATGTGCTGCTAATGGTATTCCACTGTACTTGTGGAGGACAAACACCCAAAATTCTGGATATTCAGTTCAAAGGTAATACAATCCATCAAAGTGGGGATCATCGTGCCTTGATATGTCGACTCCTTTCTTCCTTTTTTTCCTCCTCACGCTGACGAAAGGGGGGCGACGTTATGAGCCGAAATGCTCGACGTATCACACCTCTTTCATGTCTTCTGTGATTTTTCACCTGGCTCATCACTTCGTGTGAATTTTCACGTCTTGTTTTGCGACGAGAAAACGTCTGGTGAGCGTGGGTGAAAAGATACACGCACTTTGGGTCTTACGGATTTTCTAACAAAGCCAATGGAGGTGAGAGAAGTCGAGCAAAAAAGTCTCTCACGCGCCAAACGCAATAATAAAATATCACTTTCAATATTTTCTCAGCGCGTCGTTCACGAGCCAGTAAAGGGATTTTTGAAAAGCTTGAGATCTGGAAAAGAGGTAGATTTAAGGGGATAATTTTGTGGGTGAAACGATGCAAAAGACCACACATTTCAGTAGATTATTGATTTTCGGATTCTGCCATTATTAAATATTAAGGAAAGTTATCTATTTTCAACATCTGGTTTTGCTGGGAAAATTTTCCACCATGTTAATTATTTCGCTATCCACTTGCACAATTTTCTATTGCTCGAATCTTGAACAGGACATAATCTCTAATCCTCAAGCCCTAATTGGACGCTCTTGAGAATTATTATTGATTTCCGCCATCATTTGAGTTTTTGTTGCGGAAAATCTCCCGGAATGCGTATTTCATATAAAAAAAAAACACAACACAAAGAAATTGCTGAGCAGACCTTAGCCAAGATTGAATGGAAAATCTGCAGAGAAAAAAATGCTGAATTGAAGTGTATACAAAGAAGTCTTCACCATCACTTTGATGACATCTCTGAGATTTGACTTCCTGGTGAGACGGAAAATCATGGAAGAAACACGAGAGGCGGAAATTAAAGGAATGATGGTGTTGAAACCATGGGAAAGTAAGCAAAATCTATCAAAGGGATTTCGGTGTAAGCATTTGAGAGTTCCCGCGGATACATTTGTGCCACCCATTCGGCGTTCGTCCCCCGCAAAGTCTCAAATTTCCCACTGGTGAAATGTCAAAAATCTGGAAAATGTCGAGAGACATGGGCTGAGAGATTCTCACGGTGTGCGGAGAGAAAAACCCCGGGAGCCGGAAAAAAGGAGAGGAAGTCAGAGTGGTTGTGAGGGAATTGCAAAAGAACTTAAATATTTAATACAGTATACATGAATTTTACAATGTAGCAACCTTAGTGTGTATGCGATGTTTGAATATTCCCGAGGAAAAGTAGATTTCCTCCTTGACTTCCTTCCCATCTTGGTCCACGCCAAATCCCCCGAATACCGGCGTAATGGGAGGCATCTCTGTGGTTATAGGTGGATGTTGTACACTTTGATTCAGACATTCATCTTTCTCCGGGCCTGGAAGAGAGGCAGAGTGGGTAATGAAAGATACCGCAACATACACGATGTGTGGGGAGAGAGGAAAACATCAAAGAAGTGACTGCGAGAGAAGATGAAAATTATTTAGAGTACCCAAAAGAACGCCAACAATTGGGAAATTTTCATTTTGTATCACAATCACTAGACTGAATTTTACTCAACACAGGAAGAAGAAAGAAGAAAGGCGTCTGACTTCGTTGAGTTCTTGTTTTTCTGGTCACAGAATTAGGATTGTTTGAACACAAAGATATTTTCTTGTTTAAATTTATTCCTTTACGAGTAATACGTATAAATTACTTCATTAATTAAAATTGTACATAGAATTAAAATCTTTATTGATTCCGATATTCATACTTTTTAGATAAAACGCGTAGTTTGCTTGGGTATATAAAAACATTTCAATGTAAATATTATTCTTTGAGCAGTAATAGAGCAGTAAAGAATTCACTTTAAAGTATAGCAAAAGAGGGAATTCGAAGAGTTTCTCTTTAGTGAGTTAATCGATTAACCTTGATACTAATCTTCCAAGGAGCGTATTTGTCACTCTTTCCATGCTTTCAGATTCCAAACAACTATCGAGGTCCTCCTATGAGAGCAGTGCGAATGAGTAATAGAGGGAATTTGTCACAGATCGGTGAAATCATACACTAAATTGCATTTGATGACTCAAAAGTATGCGCTTCAAGTTGCAAAACCACCAACAACTCATTCGTCCTTCTAGTGCGGCTGCTCCACAAATTGCTAACTTTCGCAAATTCATTTGTCTGCTTCGTCGCAGAGCAGATTTTTTATTTTCCTGACAATATCTGTGATTTATCAGAAAGGCTGCCTCTTGAAATTATATTTGCCGGACAATTTTATCGCATCCGAAGGCCTGTCAACCATGAGGCCTTGTATCATATATCAATCAATATATATATATATATATATATATATATATATATATATATATATCATACTGTACATATATTTAAAAATTAATGAAATACTTTGAGCTGTATATCTACGCATAAATATGTTTACACGGTAAACACATTGTACACAGAGAATTCTTCAAAACAGAATTCAACATCCCGACATAGTTCAACATTATTTGAACTGAACGAAGCCCGGCTCTATCTGTAATCGCGCAAAAAATCAAATGTCGCAAAATCGGTTAAAATGATATCAGATGAAAAAGAGGGAGTCATCTTTTTGGGGTTTCGTCCGTCGGTCGGTCGGTCGGTCGGTCTGTCTAAACGAAAAAAAACGACATCATGGGGGTTTCTAAGACTCTTTTGGTTTAAATTAAATAAAATGTGCATGAAACCATTAAATAAACAAAAAAAATTATTATAAAGTGAAGTTTCAGGGCTTGAGACTCTCAAATATAATATTTTACTATACAACAACATTTATGGTGGTAAAAGTATATTTCAACAAAAAATAAATTAATTAAGCTTAGCAA